TCATTAATTACTCACCCCCATGCTGTACCAACCCCGTAAGACCTTCGTTCATTTTCGGAACACAAATAAAGATATTTTTGATTGAATCTGAGAGCTGGATCAGTCCTACATAGACTGCCTAAGGGACTGGCTCTTGACGGCCCATAAAGTCATTAAAGAAAAGGTTTAAATATTCCATGTGCCTAAAGCGGCTCAATTATAAGTTTATCAAGCGACGAGACTACTTTTTGTGCGAAAAAAAACATAAATAACGACTTTATTCCACTATCCCATTACTTCCTTATGGGCGCATGCGCGAGAACTGAGACGAGGACGTTCTCCTTCTTGTTACCGGCTGCTCACCGCTTAGTTTTACCGCCCCCTACCGTATAAGATGATGTGCTGATATAGCTGGAAGCGCAAAACTTTCTGTTTACAAGCAGAGGAAGATGCGCGCTGTACATACGCTTTTCAATTTGCGTATTTTCCGCACTATAAGGTGCACTTAAAAGCCTTTAATCTTCTCAAAAAACGACAGTGTTCCTTATAATCCGGAGCGCCTTATATATGGATCATCATTTTATACGGTAGGTGGCGGTAAAACTCCTAAGCGGTGAGCAGCCGCCGGTGGTCGAAGGAGAACGTCCTCATCTCAGTTCTCGCGCATGCGCCCATAAGGAAGTAATGAAATAGTGAAATAAAGTCGTTATTTATGTTTTTTTCGCACAAAAAGTAGTCTCGTCGCTTGATAAACTTATAATTGAGCCGCTGTAGGCACATGCAATATTTAAACCTTTTCTTTAATGACTTTATGGGCCGTCAAGAGCCAATCCCTTAGACAGTCTATGTAGGACTGATCTAGCTCTCAGATTCAATCAAAAATATCTTTGTGTTTCGAAGATGAACGAAGGTCTTACGGGGTTGGAACAGCATGGGGGTGAGTAATTAATGACTTAATTTTCATTTTTGGGTGAACTAACCCTTTAAATGGAAATTCATACATGCTCTAAAAATGATCTTGACACCAGTCACTTATAATTCATAGAAAAAAATGACCTACAAAAGTGGTACATTTTAAGAAAAGCTCTAGGATGTTTTTTTTTTTTTTTTTGCAGATTTCATTTTGTTTAATAAATGTTTGATATATCAGATTCTTATTAAATGAATTGGTTTGCAATACAGTAAAGTGACCAGTATAGTCGATTAACAAGTTTGTTATATCCAAAATATTATTAATGTGTTTAGCAGAATGGAGTTGAGCACACACATGCTTTTATCATGTGCCCTGAGGCCTACCGCTTCTGTGAGGTTGAACAGCATCTGAGTAGTGAGTAAAATTCAGATTCTGAACTAGTGATGGTGGTCTTAAGGAAAACAATTAAAGTAGTTCACTTCAGAATTAAAATTTCCTGACAATTAAAAAAAAAAACTACTCCAACTTCAAAATCGTCCAACATAATTGGTTTACCTTTTAGTATTTTTTTTTTGTTTCACTTTGTCTTTGCACATTCGTTTAGGTCACTAACACTAGGTCAGTCCCTCTGCCTATGTCACGCGTGACCTTTCAACATGATTATGTAATGCGTCGTGCATTGCAATGCTACTGTAAGATGAGCATTTGTGGTTAAAAAGTATATTTATTTGTGATTGTAATGTTTTTTTTTTTTTTTGTAAATGACCGATGAGTACATTTTGGGGGTGAGTACATTTTAATTCTGAAGTGAACTTATCTTTTAAGTGGAAAGAATATTGTTGTTGTATTGTTTTGTTCTGATGTATTTTTTCTCAGTGACTCCAGTGGTTCACAGCGGTCTAAGAGATATGAAGGTACTGAAGACTACTCAGTCTGGATTTGTGGGCTTCCTGCGGGACCGTTTCACCACTCTGACAGAAGCAAAGGACAGATTCTTCTGCACTTCCATTTATGCAAGATGGCACTACAACACTCACGTAAACGTGCCATTTGACTCTGCATGGTAAATGCAAACCCTTTAGACATGCCAACAAAGTGCAAACTCTTAGACATGCCATAGGAAGTGATACATGTTATGTGTCATATATGTGTAATGTACAATGAAAATGTCCTCGTAGGAAAACGGTTAAGGACACCATCATTCAGAAGTTTGCGGGACCCTATGATCGTGGAGAATACTCTCCTTCAGTTCAGAAAACTCTGTACGATACACAACTCCTGGTACTTGACAGAATTCCACAGGTAAGTCAAACTGATTTCAGTTTTGCGTGACTTTTTAAGTGAAAAAAACTTTTGACTATTGTTACTAGTACCATTTAGATTTTAGGGTTAGTGATTTGAACAAAGCCCCAAAACAAAGCATGACCTTGAGTGTCTTACTGCTTTACGTGTAAGCAATGAGGTACAAGAGGCTGTGCTGTATTGTGAATAAGTAACAGCTGGAGGGCGTTGTTAGGCACAACGAAAGGTGGAGTAAGCCCTTCAGTCGTTATTTATTCACGATACAGCACTTGCCTCGCGTATCTTATTGTTTTTATAAAACGATTACCACACAATAAAAATATTAAAGGCTTAGTTCACCCAAAAATGAAATTCTGTCAGTATTTACTCATCCTCATGTAGTTCCAAACCTCTATGTGTTTATTTGTTCTGCTGTACACAAAGGAAGATATTTGGAAACATGTTTTAATCAAACAGATCTCATTCCCATTGACTACCATATGTATTTTTCCCTACTATGTAGTCAATAGGGAATGAGATCTGTTTGATTAAAACATTCTTCCAAATATCTTCCTTTGTGTACAGCAGAAAAAATAAACACATAGAGGTTTGAAACTACTTGAGGGTGAGTAAAGGATGATAGAATTTTCATTTTTTGGTGAACTAACCCTTTAAAGTAAAAAAAAAAAAAAAAAATCATTAGTGTAACTTTCATGAAGTAAAATCACTAAACCCTTTCTTCCGCTAGAAAAAATAGTCCCTGACCGTGAACAGCAACAACAATGTGTAATATGTATGAAAGCTCAAATAAAAAAAAACATAGGAACTGCAGTTCATAGGAACTGCGCAGTGATAAATAGAACCGTTGGTCATAAAAAAATGTGCTTTTATGTCTTTTTATCAATTGACTTCAATAGGTTGACGAAATCGAGATTATTATGCCGAATCAGCATTATTTTGTCATTGACATGACAAAAATGGGACTCTCTAACAAGGATGAGGTGAGTGACAGAGAAAATCCTGGGGAAAAAGCCATTCACATACAGGTTATCAGATCAGATGAGTCTGAATATCTGTATTGACACAGAACAAAGTTCAGAGTTTTCAGGCTCTGACATAAGACTTTTGAGGCTGCTACTCTTAAAATGACTTTATTGCCACATTTCTACAAACCACTGTGTTATCCCAACTTAAAGAGTATGAAGGATATGTGGAGTGTTGCTTTGTATGTATTTATATTTTATTTACATGTCACATTACGTTGTTGTGCTTTCATTTCAGGTTTATCTTCCCCTCGATAATCCAGCAGGAAACATCACAGGCACTGTGCGCAGAAAACCACGAGCCAAAATGTAAAGACCGGCAAAATTCACAAACTAGATATATAACACAAAACAAATAAAATCTATAAAGCTAACATGATTTTCTGTTTAAATATTCAACAAACCTCATTTTTATTTTATGTTTTACAGATAGATTTTTTTTGGTGTAATCACACAAGTAAATAAAATTTACAAATATAAAAATGTTTAAATGAGAGCTGCCTTCTATTTGTGGATAAATATTAATAATTGAAAACTATGGGTTAATAAACGGTGCTTTAATCTTTATAACATTGTTTTAATCAATTAAACTTGAATCCATTTCTATAGTTTTCAGAGTTATAACTGTGTTCTTCAAAAGTAATTAAATTAAAATAGATGGAGTTTACAGCAGTTGTTCTGTAGCAATGAAAAACATTATTAACATTAACGATCATTATCTTATTTCATTGATCACTAATACAGGTATCAACATTGAAGGGAAACAATGAAAGAAAAAGAAAACAGCATCAGTTAATCACACCAATGCCAATAATGTTTCTGGTATTTGAAGGTTTTAGGAGACTTTTTTTTTTTGAGGAAAATTATGATTATTACATTTATTATTCACATGCAGAAAGGACGTTAAACAGCACTGTAATGAGGACCAGGTAGTGGATTGTTTCAGCCATCTGAAAAAGCACCATTTATTGCAGGCTACACTGGCCTTTGTTTCCTCTTTTTTAAACACCTTGTATCACAAACTGCTTTAGCTTTACAGTGTTGTGCTGTCTGTCAATAACAACAATCCACCAATTCATCAGGAATCACATTGTTAGTTACAGAATGAAATGAATAAACAGAATTAATAGCAGCACAAAGCACTGTCATTCTGACAGGATTCCTGAAAACAAACCTCACATGTTCAGCCTTTATCATAATTTTTCCGACATTTGACAATTTGTGCTGTCAATTTATCTCAACACACTTTTTATCTATTAAAAGTGGAAAAACAAAAAGTGAAATAAACACCAACAAGCTGATAAAATCTCAACTGTGACAGCAATGTTGTCAATCTCACTTCCGTTCAAAGCGCACTTCATGCATTACACAGAACATCTCAGGTTTTCATTTGACATCACAGATCACATTATCAAACCGAGCATTTAGTCTTAAAGGGATACTCCACTTTTTTTTGGAAATAGGCCCATTTTACAACTCCCCCAGAGTTAAACAGTTGGGTTTTACCGTTTTCGAATCCATTCAGCCGATTTTCTGATATTTAGAAGAATATCAGTAACCATGGTCTCATTGACTTCCATAGTAGGTAAAAAAATATACTATGGAAGTCAATGAGACCAAAAACTGTCTGGTTACTGATATTCTTCTAAAAATCAGAAAATCGGCTGAATGGATTCAAAAACGGTAAAACTCGACTGTTTAACTCTGGGGGAGTTGTAAAATGAGCCTATTTCCAAAAAAAGTGGAGTATCCCTTTAAAAGAAATGATGATTTGAGGACAAGCACGCAAAGTCAAATCTGAAGGAACAAACTGTTAAACATAGGTCAGCTGAAACTGTAAATGTGCCTGTACAGCAGAATGAGACCTTAAAAGCAATAAATTCACCATGTTTATTTATCAAGATGCATAAAATGTATTAGTTCTGTCTGCAGTTACCCTGCACTGCGTGATTGTCTTCCATGTGTCCACATGTCTGCAGCAGCTACGAGACGGTACTTTTTAAATGTTGGGTTTGGAGAGGCTTGACATGATACTCGTATATCTTCAGTGCAGGACCCAGTTTTATTGATAGTCCGGTTAGAACGTCATTACGAGTCATTAATAAAAGGGATTTGCCATCGATTTCCTGTAAGTTTAGCAAACATAAATAAATACAGAAACACAGAAGACATAATAATAACATGAATATTATTGAAAACAGAAAAAAGAAACAATACTACTGTGAAATCATTTTTAAAAATAATGGTTTCATATTTTTATATACTTTAAAATAGAATTTATTTTTGTGATGTAAAGCTGATTTTTCATCAGCCATTACTCCAGTCTTCAGTGTCACATGATCCTTAAAAAAGTGGATAAAAACGATCTTTCATCAACGTTATACATGAATTTTGAATAATACACGTTCTTGTATTAGTGACAACTTTGATTTACTTTTTTGATACACTACTGTTGACCACTGTAATATGCTAATTTATTATCTGTGTTGGAAACATCTGTACTGCTTAATATATATTTTTGAACCTGAAATACTTTTTTTCTGGATTCTTCGATGAATAAATGTAAAAAAAAAAAGAAAAAAGACAAATAAAGAACAGCATATATTTAAAATAGAAATCTTTTGTACCAATATACACCACCGTTCAAAAGTTTTGGGTCAGTATTTTTTTTAAATAAATGAATACTTTTATTCAGCAAGAATGCAAGTTGATAAAAAAGTGATAGTGAAAAAAGTAATACTTTACAATAAGGTTAATTATTTAACATTAATTATACCTTAGTTAACATGAACTAAGAATGAATAGAGCATGTATTAATCTTAGTAAATAATATTTTTAACATTTACTAATACGTTAATAAAATCAAAGTTTGTATTTGTCAACATTAGTTACTGTGAATAGAAGATTTCTTTTTTAAATAAATGATGCTCTTTTTACCTTTTTATTCATCAATGAATCCTGAAAAAATAATAAAAATACAAAGCAGCATGTCTGTCCAACATTAATACTTAGTATCAAATCAACATAGAATGATTTTCATGAAGGATCATGTGACACTGAAGACTGTAATGGCTGATGAAAAATTAGATTTGCATCACAAAAATAAATTTCAAAGTAAATTAAAATAGAAAACCATAATTTTAAATCGTAATATACTTGTATATACAGTAGATAGAGTAGATTTGTGCAGGAAAACAAAATGAACCCCTACCTGATCCTGGAAAGCGTTGGCTTGCTCCTCAAACCCTGTTGCTTTAAAGTAATTGACCACATCCGCCACAGCCCAGTGCGCAGGATCAGTAAGCTGCCCATTCTCCACAGAGCTATTAGAGAGTGAAAAATATTCAATTGATGCTTTTGTATGATTTAACCATTCCATATGTCTACACAATCTTCCAAGCTATGTGATCACTTTATAACACTTCATCACTTTCAACACTTTCGGCTTAAATCCGTTTCATGTGGGCTGTAGGATATCACTAAAAGAACTGTCCAATTATACATGATTCTCTGCCTCCTGCGTTGTGCTGACATCAGTTTGCCTGAAAAGTTTTTGGAGGGCAGGGTCATGGAGAAAGGGTGTGTGCTCAAATCACTTATTAAATTTGCGCATAAGCTCTTGTGAAGTATAATCTACTTTGGTCAAATCAGTGTTGTAATAAAATTCTGATCTTCAACAACTTGACAGTGCATGCATATTTAAAATAAAATCAATGGATTATCAAACAAATTGGCAGCAGTTGCCATGCAAACCATTTATTTCAGTCCGGTTGCCATGGCTCTGCCCTTGTGTAACAAATGAGAGGCCATCTAAACCCAGAAGGGGCAGAACATTTCTTTTCTTAAGTGGCCATGATGTTAAAAGTAGATTTCCTGCACTGTTTCTGGATTCGGGTGGCTCAGTTGGTAGTATGCTGCGTCACAGCAAGAAGGTCCTCAGTTTGAGCCCCAGCTGAGCCATGGAGTTCGTTCTATGTGGATTTTGCATGTACTCCCCATGTCCAAAGACATGGATTGGATATGCTAAATTGGCCATAGAAGCGAGTATATTTGAGTGTCCCAGCACCAGTGTTGCACGAGTTAGTGCACTCTTAGTGCTGGGTTGTGTCAGGAAGGCAACGGGCGTAAAACCTGTGCCAAATCCAATATGCAGATAATTCAGCTGTGGCGACCCCTTACGGGAGCAGCCAAGAGAAGATCGTGATATTTCACCAGTATTTTACAAAACAAACTGAGGGCTGGACTTAGAATCATTTCCAAAAATGGTCAATTCCTTGGAACCCAAATTTTCGAATTCTTAAATTCCCCTATTGATTTTCATCTACAGGGAAGCAATAATAATGGATTGTGAAGGGAAGTTCTGCTTTCTCAGAGTTTGTTATTGGATGAAATAGGCCTAATAGAGTTTTTCACATATTGAGCCCATGAGCAAGGGGTCCATCTTAAAAAAAAATAGATGTTCCGAGCTCAGGTAATTTTCGAAACTGTCAAGTGTCCATCTTGGGGCTGGACTTTCCTCCCAATCATGGCCCTTCCAGGTGTCACTGTCGCTGCCCATGTGAGCGTTGAAGTCCCCCAGTAGAACGACGGAGTCCCCAGTCGAAGCACTTTCCAGCACCCCTCCCAGAGACTCTGAGGAGGCCGGTACTCTACATTGCCGTTTGGCCCGTAGGGACACACGACAGAGACAGACCTATACCGACCCGTAGGCGCAGGGTAACGACCCTCTCGTTCACCGGAATAAACTCCAACACATGGCGGCTGAGCTGGGGGCTATAAGCAAACCCACACCAGCCAGTCGCCTCTCACCATGGGCAACTCCAGAGTGGTGGAGAGTCCATCCTCTCTCGAGGAGTGTGGTTCCAGAGTCCAAGCCATGCGTAGAGGTGATCCCGATTATCTCTAGTCAGAACAAAACCTCCCAACCACACGCACAATCTTAGGCTCCTTCCCTGTCAGCGAGGTGATGTTCCATGTCCCTAGAGCTAGTTTCCGTGTCCAGGGATTGGGTCGTCGAGGCCCTCGCCTTCGAATGTCGCACGAACTTCTCAGCACGAGCCCACAGGAAGGCGGCCCCACGTCGCTCCTTCGGGTGAGCCGGCCGGACCCCGTGGAGAGAGGCCTGGCCACTAAAAGAACTGTCCAATTATACATGATTCTCTGCCTCCTGCGTTGTGCTGACATCATCATGCTGATGCGAGCACATACGAGCCCAACCCGGGCCTGGCTCCAGAGTGGGGCCCTGGCTGCTCCATACCGGGCGACGACATGGTCCTTGTTTTTATTTTAATCATAAGGGATGTTGAAACGCTCTAAATCTGAGTTGTCGCCTAGGACCTGTTGGCCTTGGGAGACCCTACCAGGGGCATATAGCACCAGACAACATAGCTCTTAGGGTCATTCGGGTACTCAAACCCATTCACTCTCTGGCGCTTAAAAAAGGACAGCAGAAATGCAACCCTGGTAACCCTGCAAACAAAGCAGCTGCTGTTTCAGATCAGTATTTAATTGTTCCAAACAGCAAATCAGATTTTTTGTATTCGCTATGGTGTTCATCACAGCATCAAATACTTAAAGACTTAATAGGCTGTCAATTTTTTCAAACTTAAACATTTTTTACATTTAAATCTGGAATAAATCATTCTTTATCATTGTTCAGTAACACTTAAAGAGGACATATTATGCAAAATCCACTTTTTTAGCCCTTAAATGCATTTTGTTGTATATTTGGAGTGTTTATAACTAAGTACAGAAAAGATGAAATTTTCTCTTCAGGTGCTTCGTTTATATCTTTATATTTCTGTTTTGGTCATATTTTTCAACCTGTTCAGATTTTTCTGTTCTCTATGACGTTTTTGAACTATCATGTCACCGTATTTGCAGCGGAACTGACAAATAAGAACATTGACTACCGGCCCAACACTTCGAGCAATCCGCCATTATTATTTCTCGCTCCGATTTTGTAGTCCAAGCTCAATGATGCAGAAGTTACAAGAGGGCAAGTTAAAATGTTCGGTTCTTGGATGTAGTGACCTGAAGCACTTCAAGGATCCCCACTTCAACAACCTCCGCCAGTATACAGAAGGGTTTGCCGATCAACTTTGTCTGAATGAAGGGTAAATTCCTTTTATCATTTAGCTGCTGTGTTTTCTGATGCTTTTCTACATACATACATACATCTTCTTCCGCTTCATCCGGGGCCGGGTCGCGGGGGCAGCAGTTTAAGCAGAGATGCCCAGACTTCCCTCTCCCTAGACACTTCCTCTAGCTCTTCTGGGGGGACACCGAGGCGTTCCCAGGCCAGCCGGGAGACATAGTCTCTCCAGCGTGTCCTAGGTCTTCCCCGGGGCCTCGCCCAGTGGGACGTGCCCGGAACACCTCCCCAGGAAGGCGTCCAGGAGGCATTCGGAACAGATGCCCGAGCCACCTCAGCTGACCCCTCTCGATGTGGAGGAGCAGCGGCTCTACTCTGAGCTCCTCCGAGTGACCGAGCTTCTCACCCTATCTCTAAGGATCGCCCAGCCACCCTGCGGAGAAAGCTCATTTCGGCCGCCTGTATCCGGGATCTTGTCCTTTCGGTCATGACCCAAAGCTCATGACCATAGGTGAGAGTAGGAACGTAGATTGACCGGTAAATCGAGAGCTTTGCCTTACGGCTCAGCTCCTTCTTACCACAACAGACGGTACATCGACCGCATTACTGCTGAAGCTGCACCGATCCGTCTGTCAATCTCCCGTTCCATCCTTCCCTCACTCGTGAACAAAACCCCAAGATACTTAAACTCCTCCACTTGAGGAAGGATTTCTCCACCAACCTGAAGTGAGCAAAGCCACCCTTTTCCGACTGAGGACCATGGCCTCGGATTTGGAGGTGCTGATTTCATCCCAGCCGCTTCACACTCGGCTGCAAACCTCCCCAGTGCATGCTGAAGGTCCTGGCATGAAGAGGCCAACACGACAACATCATCCGCAAAGAGCAGAGACGAAATCGTGCGGTCCCCAAACCTGACACCCTCCGGCCCCTGGCTGCGCCTAGAAATTCCGTCCATAAAAATTATGAACAGAACCGGCGACAAAGGGCAGCCCTGCCGGAGTCCAACATGCACTGGGAAGAAGTCTGACTTATTTACCGGCAATGCGAACCAAGCTCCTGCTTCGGTCATACAGGGACCGGAGAGCCCTTAGCAAAGGACCCCGGACCCCATATTCCCGGAGCACCCTCCACAGGCTGCCTCGGGGACACAGTCGAATGCCTTCTCCAAATCCACAAAAACACATGTGGACTGGTTGGGCAAACTCCCATGAACCCTCCAGCACCGTAGAGAGTATAGAGCTGGTCCAGTGTTCCACGGCCCGGACGAAAACCACACTGTTCCTCCTGAATCCGAGGTTCCACCATCGGCCGTATTCTCCTCTCCAGTACCCTGGCATAGACTTTCCCAGGGAGGCTGAGAAGTGTGATCCCCTGTAGTTGGAACACACCCTCCGGTCCCCCTTCTTAAAAAGAGGAACCACCACCCCGGTCTGCCATCTCAGAGGCACTGTCCCCGACCGCCACGCGATGCTGCAGAGGCGTGTCAACCAAGACAGCCCCACAACATCCAGAGACTTGAGGTATTCAGGGCGGATCTCATCACCCCCGGTGCCTTGCCACCGAGGAGTTTCTTGACTACCTCGGTGACCTCAGCTAGGGTGATGGACGAGTCCACCCCTGAGCCCTCAGCCTCTGCTTCCTCAACGGAAGACGTGGCGGCGGGATTGAGGAGATCCTCGAAGTATTCCTTCCACCGCCCGACGACATCCCCAGATGAGGTCAGCAGAAGCCCACCCCTACTGTAAACAGCATTGGTGGGGGACTGCTTCCCCCCCTGAGGCACCGGACAGTTTGCCAGAATCTCTTCGAGGCCAGCCGATAGTCCTTCTCCATGGCCTCACCGAACTCCTCCCAGGCCCGAGTTTTTGCCTCCACAACCACCCGGGCCGCAGTCCGCTTGGCCTGCCGGTACCTGTCAGCTGCCTCCGGAGTCCCACAAGCCAACCAGGCCCGATAGGACTCCTTCTTCAGCTTGACGGCATCCTTTACTTCCGGTGTCCACCACCGGGTTCGCGGGATTGCCGCCTCGACAGGCACCGGAGGACTTTACGGCCACAGCTCCGAGCAGCCGCTTCGACAATGGAGGTGGAGAACATGGTCCACTCAGACTCAATATCTCCAGCCTCCTCGGGATCTGGTTGTAGCTCTGCCGGAGGTGAGAGTTGAAGATCTCTCTGACAGGAGATTCGGCCAAACGTTCCCAGCAAACCCTTACAGTACGCTTGGGTCTGCCAAGTCTGTCCAGCCTCCTCCCCGGCCATCGGATCCAACTCACCACAGGTGGTGATCAGTTGACAGCTCCGCCCTCTCTTCACCCGAGTGTCCAGACATACGGCCGCAGGTCAGATGAAACGACTACAAAGTCGATCATCGACCTACGACCTAGGGTGTCTGGTGCCACGTGCACTGGTGGACACCCTTATGCTTGAACATGGTGTTCGTTATGGACAAACTGTAACTAGCACAGAAGTCCAATAACTGAACACCACTCGGATTCAGGTCGGGGGGGCCGTTCCTCCCAATCACGCCCCTCCAGGTGTCACTGTCGTTGCCCACGTGAGCGTTGAAGTCCCCCAGTAGAACGACGGAGTCCCCAGTTGGAGC